ACCAACTCAACTTTTTCAGTATTCACATTTATAAGTGTATTAACATGCCTCACATTAGGTAATACAAACTTTATGCATTTTGTTTTATTTGAATTAAGCTTTAAATTTTTACTATCAAACCACTGTAGAACATTGTCGAGAGCATCATTTACATCGTCAAAACAATCATTACCCCTCTTAACTTTAAACACTAAAGAGGTGTCATCAGCAAATAACACTGTCTCGCACAAATTCTTTGTAAAGTGAGGAAGATCATGAATGTAAATTAGAAAAAGCAATGGTCCTAATATCGATCCCTGAGAGACGCCCATAGTAATGGGTGCCCCTGCAGATTTCGCTTCATTAATTACTACTTTTTGAATTCTATCAGAAAGATATAAAACACGATGAACAAAAATGTATGAAAACTGGTCTCTCCTCCAATAGATATAATATATTATATTCGGGACTTTGAGTGATTTGATTTCATATTTGAAATATTTGTATTTGCCATGACATTGATACATAACAATTGTTGAAATTGATTAATTTAACCATGACACCCAACTTAAACCTCAACAAAGTGTTGATAAGATTTGAGTGAAATAATTAAATTAATCAACAGGATCAACTCGACTATCCGACAGTCAGCTTTAATCTATACATAAGACAATTTTAGCTTAATTTTTTATGTAAAAAAGTTCAAATCATCAACATTCACCACAACGCTTCTCCATGAAAAAAGAACCCTCATTCACTGTCATATATCCGAACTTTTAAGATCGACCGTACGCACTACTAATATTTATACAGCTGTTTCTCGTATTTAGATTTAATTATTTTCGGACAAAATTCCACATGTTTTGATGATAATTAATACCGTCATTGTGTTTTCATATAACATACGTTTAGTTTACGATAAAACTAATCACATTAGTAGTATTTTATATGAAAAAACGACATAGAATTAAATGTTATAATATAGAAAATCGGATATTGAGCCTCGTTCGCAAATGGTTTTCAAAACATCGTACTTGGAATATTTTTACTGACCTTAGTGGAAACATAATTTATAATATTGCTAAGAGGAAATGGATAATGCCCTTAAATTATGTATTGGTCTGATTTTAAATATTCTTTCACTTTCGGAAAAATACAACATAAGCGGTTAACACAGGCCCAATTAACACTTAATTTACACGAAAATAAATGTATTTAATAACAGGATTGCTATTTGCTACCATAAAATTGTACACGCAGCAGCACGTCAGTACACAGTCCCCCCACTTAATTTTGGACTTCATTCTTAATGTCCTAAGGCTTAAATTGTGGGAAAACAATTTGCTATACTCTTAGCTCTAGGATGTTTGTTTTTTGCTACTTTGATAACAATCCCGTAAATAATTTGACTTACCCATAAAAAAAACCTATTTAGAATAAATTTCTTAGTCTTTTTAATATTCAATTATAGTTATCTAACTGATTATATGTATTAACACGGCTGTAATTCTAAAACATAACTTTATTCTTTGGATACGTCAAATGACTTAATAATGAAAGTTGGAAAATTTATTTGTAAATTATACTCGTACACGATATGAATATGAACACAGCTAGATTGACAGGTGCTTTGTTGCGCACAAAGATTCTTAAAATCCAGACACTATTATAGATAAAAACAAGTAATACGTTACTTACTTACTAACGGTATAAGCAACATTTTATTATTATAAAGGTATTGAAATATCTTCAGCAATAGAGGTCATTATTGTATAACATTGTAATTTACTTATCCACAGACTGCCGTAGTAGTGGGGAAGTATCTCTACTTTCACTTGTCATGAAATTATCGCCCGGTGTACAATCAAATTAATAAGTCACAGACGCCAGCGAGTTTAAATTTATTATGTCATATGTTCTTCAAATCAAATCGAAGCATTTTTTTTGTTGAACATATACTTGTTTGTGTTATTTGGGCACTCCCTAAATATTTTTGAGTGTTAATTTTCGCGTGTAGGTTTTTGTATTTTCAATTCCCCAGGAGATCTAAAGTACTTAATTCAAGGGGGGATCCTATATAACAAACGTGTTTTTTAAATGTATTTTTCACTTCTCTTGCTCAAAAAGTTCTTTATTATAACATACAAAAGCGTAGACTGCTTCCTTTGTTTTATGGTCAAAGGCTTACAAACGAAAGATGGTTTGATTATTCAAGAAACTTTAATTGAACAGAAATTCGTAATTGTCTAATTTTAAATTAATCGCCATCATTTTCAAAAGTAAAGCAATTCGTAAAACTATATAACCTTTAAAGTCACAATCACAAGACGAATAATGATTTGAATGGTCCAGAAACATACGATACATAATAAAAACTTAGTTAAAACCACAGTAAACCTTCGAAACATTGCAGGTAGTGTTCGAGTATTATCGCTGTCAAATTAATGATGCATTAATCATAGCATGAATATCTACATGCAATGAAATTAGTTTGGTAATATGAATCCGGTTTAATTTTATTCTAGTCAATTTATTAATAAAATACAGGAGAAAAATTAGACATACCCGCTGCCTTTTATAAGTTAGAACTCTACAAAAAATGTACGTCCGGTCGTGTCTTTTCTCTACTTAAAATGTACTTATTTCGATTCGTCCGAATTATTATGAATCACTGTTACAATATTTCCCATAACTTAGCTATGTTAGCAATATTACAAGTAAATAATTACTAACCCACTTTATACGGTGAAAAGATTTACTTTCATAAAATACCTAGTAAAAGAAAGTATGAAGGGCGAGTTACTCGCGGGCCGAGGATTCCGTTCGTACATTACAAAAAAACTGGCAAAGTACAAGTCAGACTCACCTATGAAGGATTTCGTACCATTACTTGTAAAGAACGCAAACAATATATTTTTATTTCGTTACCTACTTTATAGGGTTTCTTTTAACTTTCCCATAATTTTAACTAAATCGGTCCAACAATATTGAAGCAAATTTATTTAGACGGACGATCAGATTGTTAGACACGTTAGATCTTATAAGACTGAGATTCTTTATCAAAGAAACCTAATCTACATCTAAGATACGATACACGAAACGAATATATTTGCTCTATTTTTTTAATGGGCAAAATTAGCTCCTCGTGCTGTTTAACCAGCGCAGCGCCTGACGAAATTTAGCCAATAAAATTTGGCTAAATAAGTCTAGCCATTTTTTACTTATGCAAATATGTATGTAAAAATCAAAATAGTTTATTTTAATATAATTTTAAAACTCTCAATATTTTAGTGTAATGAAGTAAGTTGTAATAAATAAATACAAACTATTTTCTGAGTCTGAAAACTTATACTTGTTTTAATTCTTAGTAAATAGCTGTACTTGTTATTTTATTTTAATGTTCAATTGAGATTGCTGTTTCAATAGCAGTCGTAATTTAAATATCCTTAATGTAATAATAATCTAGACATAAGAGTGAGTATATAATTTAATCTACAGGTTGTAATTTCCCAGGTACGCCTCTGAAGTGTTTGATTAAGCTTCGTGCAACTCTCAGATAGATTAGGCTTCTAGGGATGATCTAGGGTCTGTTGTATTTCATCTTGCACTCCGGTAGTAGGGTCGTTGGGGCCGAGCTGCCGCACTCACCTTCACCGTTCCGTTTGTGAGGTGAGGTGACCGGGCCCAGGCGGGGTTTCTATCGGAGTCGCGAGTAAGGAACTGTGTAGCGATGACTGACATGACTTTGCTGGGCGTCGCGAGGGTTCAACCCTGCTGAATCCCTGTAGGAGACGGGCTAGGATGAAAGATGCTCAGTTGCGTATCTCTCGCTCTTGACGAGGGGCAGTCTAACGAGTTAGGGAAAGGCTTAGGAACATTCGAGTCTCGGGGGAGTTAGACTCGAATGTTCCTAAGCCTTTCCCTAACTCGTAAAAGGGGTGGGCCGAAATGAGATGGAATGTGCGGTAATGGTCTCCAAGGGACCGTGACAACGAGTCGCTGAGTTTTAGTGGGAATACCCCCTGCTTTTTGACTAGCACTCATTCTGAGCGTGTGGGTCCGCAGGGGGGAGTCCCACATAACTCGTGAATCCAGGGTAAAGTGAGTATGCGTAACGCCATTTCTCAATTCCAAAAAAAAATAAAAAACTAAGCGTCTGTTGTATTGGGATTTGGGATGTTCACGAATATTTATATTTTGATCGCAAACCAAAAAGAATCGTTCCATCCTTATTTTTAGGTTCGTCCGGACCTAAAAATATACCAAGCAAAAATAACACGTATAGAAATCCAGATTAGCTATCTAGGTAATAAATTCTGGAACGTTAATTAAAAAAAAAACGGAACTGATAACCCGAAATTAACCCGACCGCTTTTAATTCGGTTTATCAGAGAACCACCTAATTTCCATAAATATCCCAATGTTTTCACTATTTATTATTACTATAATTACAACTAAATAAAAGTAAAATTAATAATTTAAGAAATTTCTAATAAAGTCGGACGGGATATATGTTACTAATATTAACCGTCCGACTTTAATACAAGTTGCTTAAATTATTTTTCACTTACCTCTAAAAAAACACTTAATTTAACAGTATATTAAATATGAACAATTAAATAGAATAATTAAAATTAAGCAAACAATAAAATTGATTTCGTTGAATCACAACAATAGAACAAAGATAAATCAACAGGATGTGGTTCATATGTGATTAATATTTTTCCATATGTCCAGTTTATCAGGAATGCACAAGCATGTTGGCGCCATCGAACTTCTATGTATGTTACAGAGGTATGTCAACTATGTGACATCATCATATTATTATAATTTTGAATAACAATAAAATGTCAGTCATTAGAACAGGTGTTACTACAGAAACTAATATCTTCTCTTTAAATAAGTAAGAATCACTAACTCTTACATTGAGTTAAGCAACAGCAGACATACTAACAGTGGTGACAGTGTTATTTCTAACGATAAACCAAACATCCATATACCACGACAAATCCACGAAGACTGAAGACAGAGTGCGTCTGCAACGGTATTACGGTAGTATCACTTATGGATTGCTTCATCCATGAAGGTGATACCACAGATAGGTATGTATATTAGGGTGGAGTGAAACATATAAAAAAATTTTTTTTTGCTCATTTCAACACTCCTGTCTTATTAATCGGTGACCATATGTAAAAACTTTATTTGTGCAAAAAATCAAAGGTCTAATACTTTATTTTCAGGTGGCGCATCGAGAAAATAGTTCCTAAAAAACTAATATTTTTACTTGTAAGCCTACCCTCAAAAAAGAGTTATTCTTACATGCTTTGCTTACAAATCTAAGTATATCTAAGTATTATTTCGTACGCAAATATCGTTTTGTTTTATAAAACTAGTATATGGTTTAGAAATAGTGCCAAAGTTAAGTAAATTTCAATAAAAAAAATGCCTAAAACGCGTAAAGATTTGCGGTGTCCTTTATTTGGTGATCCGATCAAATTCAGTAATAATATGTTACCTACATATTGTGATGTGATTAAACACTACTTATGGATAAGAAAGGAAATTTTAGAGTTGAATAATGGAAAGGACCCTTCAGTCAAAGATATATGTGAAATTATTGCTTCCGAAATTGAAGCAATCTGGAGTAGAGCATCTATACCTACAATTACACATCAACAAGTCGTATCTAGGCTGATTTCGTATTATCAAAAGTACAAGAATGTGAAAAAGTTACGTAATGATTCCAAAAAGCAGATATTCTACAAAGATTCAATAAATAAATTGTTTGATATCGCAACATGTAAATGTATATCTCGAGAACTATGCAAATGTGTGACTAAAGTACCCGCTGCTGAGGAAAACTTTTTAAAAGATCAACGAAATGAGCGCAAAATGTATATTGGTTCTGTGGATAAGGTGACAACTCAATCTTTGCGACGTCGTGAAATTAGGAAACGAAAATATGAAGAGTTTGCTGCAAAATGTAACGTCACTCCAAGTACATCATCGTCTGCCCCAGGTATAGTTTGGACGTCTGATAGTTGTTCTGCTTCAACGTCAGATGAGGACGATGAATTTCGTACTGCAGAATTAGTTTCTAAACCATCCCTTAAAAAAACTCAACAGATGAGAGATGAGCTGAAAAATCTTGCTACAACGTGTGATAGAACTGGAGTTTCTGATCGATGTGCAGGATTAATTGTAAATGCTGCTTTACTTGACTTAAATGTTATCAGTACTGAGAACTCATCAAAAGTAGTAGACCGAAGCAAAATACGCAGAGAAAGACAAAAGATTCGTAAAGAATTGCAATCTGTAGAAAAACATGAACCTTTAACGGCTATTTATTTTGATGGTCGTAAGGACAAAACTTTGACTATAACTAAGGCTGATAATATATCTCAAAGGAAGATTATAGTTGAGAAACATATCTCAATCATATCAGAACCCAGTTCTGAATACATCGGTCATCTTTCTGTTGAGTCGGGTAAAGCGGCTGATATTGAGAAAAGTATTATCGAATTTCTTGAAAATAAATATGAATTTCGTTATTCTTTGGTGGCAATTGGATGCGATGGTACCGTTGTTAATACTGGTCGAAAAAATGGAGTCATTGTTTTATTAGAAAAACATCTAAAGCGGCCTTTGCAATGGTTTGTGTGCTTGTTACATGCAAATGAATTACCACTTCGGCATTTGTTCTCCGGTCTTGACGGCACTACTACAGGCCCGAATACTTTTTCTGGCAGGTTAGGAAAACAGCTTGATAAGTGTCTTGACTTGAAAATAGTAGCATTCGAACCCATCTCCACCAAATTGCCGGATCTGAATATTGAATTGTTGAGCACCGATCAAAAATACCTTTATCAGATGTGTTGTGCTATTTCTTCTGGTACAGTTTCACCAAACTTAGCCAATAAAGACCCAGGAAAACTAGCTCATTCTCGATGGTTAACTTGCGCTAACAGGATTCTTCGTTTGTATATTGGTACAGCTAAACCGACAAAAAATTTGAAAGAACTGGCGACTTTCGTCATGAAAGTATACGCACCAAACTGGTTTGATATCAAATCAAAATCCTCTTGTACTTTTGGTCCGATTCACATCTTTAATATGGTTAAAAGAAGTATGTATTTGCAAGATGATTTAAAAAGTATTGTCTTAAATACTATTAAAAGAAATGCTTTCTTCATACACCCCGAAAATCTATTGCTGGCTATGTTACAAGATGATATTCAACAAGTACGAGAGATGGCTCTTCGGAGAATTTTAAAGGCAAGAAAAGAGCCCAAAGGCAAGAAAGTTCGTGAATTCCAGTTACCAGAGCTAAAAATAGATGCGAAAAATTATTATGATTTAATAGAATGGGCGAAAGAGAAGATAACAGAACCTCCTATAACAATGAAATACAACGATTCGGAAATTACTACAAAAATTGCAACTGGAGGTAAATTGTTTGATATTGAAAAGTACCCTTGCCATACTCAAGCAGTCGAAAGGTGTGTCAAACTTGTAACTGAAGCTTCGGCATCTGTTTGTGGACCCGATGCTAGAGATGGTTTTATTCGTACTAGAATAAAATCCAGGCAAGAAATACCTATTTTTGACACCAAATCTCAGTATTTCCGTCAAAAAGAAGACACTGGGACTTCTAATACTGAACATTAAAAAATAATTTTTATGGTAACTTCATATAGTAATTCATGATGCTAGTAGTTTTGAGTAGAAATTCAGTAAAATATACGATAATATTATCAGAAATAAATGTTTATTTGTAACTCTTTTTGTTTTCTTATTTATCTACCGTCATACCTAATGCGCCACCTCAAGATATTGAGTTAGAAAGCTGTAACTTTGCATAAATATTTGCATTACTATGGATCACTGTTTGAGAAGGCAGGAAACTTAAAATTAAGAGAAAAAAAAAATTCACTCCACCCTAATGTATATTATAGTAAATCTAGGTACCACCAAGTTTGCATGATAACTACTGCCCTGTGCTACTGCCCGCTGAAGGTATGCTGCAAACAAAGACTTCAAAGTATTTATTTATTTATTTATTCAATTGTTGGAAGACTTACAGCTATACAAAGAAAAATTTTATAAAACTATAGCTTTTGCCCGCGACTTCGTCCGCGTGATATAATTACTTTTTATCATATTTTCCAAAAATGCTGTTGTTTTTAGAGCTGATGATGAAATTAACTTGATGTTTAAGTTCGAAGATAGTACAACAAAATACCAACGAATGTCCAATATGTTTCAGCACTTTATCTTTGAAACTTTAGATATATTAATCCAGGAGCGGCGTTAGGGTAGGGCGCGGTTGGGCGACCGCCCAGGTGCGCCGGACGAAAAGGGGCGCCGCAGGACGTGGCGCCCCTTTTCGTTCATTTATGTATTTTAAAAAAACGAAAGCACTACAAAAATACCTCCATCTAGTTGGCGACTCTAGCAAAAGTTGATTTTTGCAGGAAACGAATGGAACAAAGACAGTCATTTTAACAAAGTATTAAAAAACTGAAATTTGAAAAGTTCGAAACATAGATATCAACACAAATACGAAAAAGTACAAATAGAATATGAGTTGTTAATTGAGTTTTGAAAACTAATTTACTTTTAAACATGAAAGAAAACTGGAATTGTCATGGAGAAATCAAGAACATACCCTAGCGACATCTAGTTTGATTTTGATGGGAACTAATGTTTTTTTTTTTAATTCTTCCTCATTTCCCACAGACGCCCTCTTATAGTTCCCTTTCTCATTGAACAAGGCCTACTGGGTTAGCGAAAAGAACCTTGAGGATCTTTTTTTTATTTTCAAGTTGCCTCACTTTCAGCATTTATTGAAAGGTTACTTAACAATAAAAGTATTATATTATGGTAAAACAGAACAACATACCGATTACCAATATGAAGATATAAATAAATAAATATTACACAATTTTCATTTGAGCATGTTTAAACGTTAAGCTGAAGCTAAAATGCTGCAATACAAACGAATGCATCGGCAGTGGAGCCTCTGTCTGGCAAGTCAGATGGAATAGCTACTCAAGAGATTGTGGATGAAAAATTCCGAAGTAAGGGAGCAAGTTGTGCTATGATTACAGATGCTGCTCAGGATGAATCTGTTATTGATGTACAACAAATACATGTACTAGATGATGTTGATACTGTTGTCCCGAATATAGCGGATCCAGCTACTTGTTCACTTATTCGAAATAGCTAAATAATCGATCATATAATAAATAGTGGCCCACTGCAAACTCACTGTCACAAAGTTACAACAATTACACAAAGTTATAGATAACAATTATGTGACACCCTGTTAGGGTAAAAATGAATCTGTACTTACCTAATGATGTGATCCGTCAAAAATGAATCAATTACTTATACACTATTTATATGTCTACTTTTTAAATAAAACTAATGTCACTATATAGTTGGAACAAGAGCATCGTAACGTAGCGTTAAACGTTTGATTACTGTGTTTGTTTGTTTTGAAATAATCGAATAATTGTTTTAAGAGCGTCCACTTATGTCAAGCAAGAAGATAATTGTTGATTGTGTTCTTCTTCGTAAAAAATTAAAAGAGATAGATCTAGGGAATCCCCGATTATAGAAAAACACATTGTTTCTGTATGGTCGGAAAGTCGGGGATTCCCGAGAAATTAAACCGATTGAACACTACGTTCCATTCTAATGCTGCCAACTTAACAATCTACCTAAATTTAAGGAAAATTACAAGTACCTAAGTAGGCCGGGTCGGGGAAAAAAGACAAGTTACTGATTTGTAGTATGTAGTAGTAACTGATTGTAATTGAATTGCAGTTAGAGGGCTAAAACCGGCACTGTATTAATCCAATTCAATGCAATATGAAATAAATATTAAAATAAAATAGTTCTGAAGTTTACACAAAACTTAATCGAAAACGTAATCTACGCAAAATTCTTTGAAAGAAACGTTACCGCAGATTACTTACTTTAGCATAAACGCCATCTAAAACAATTGGGTGTGTAATTTTATCTATGAATCACCTTATACCGCCATCTATGAGAACTTCATAAAACTAAACAGTAAATAAACACTTGCTTAAGAAACAATTAATTAGAACATTTTATTTGCTTACATTCACGACATAAGCGAATAATTGAGATGATAACTATCCTATCCAGTAAGTTAGACCAGAATACGGGTACATGTGAAATTTGATTGAAATCGGTTCAGTAGTTTTGGAGTTTATTGGCAACATACATCGTGACACAAAATTTTTATATATTTAAGATAATAAAACAAAAATCCAATTAAAGTCCCCACCTTTAGTATTGGCAAGCTGTTAACAATCTGTCTATATTTCCCAAACTTGACCTCACTTTTGGTTTGACGGTTCTCTAACTGTAGGTATAACACCATCTCCACACTGTGGTCATAATGGGCGAGCACAGGCCATCACCATTGTGTAGACGGTATGGTGGCCTATAATGGCCCATGTTCGGCGATGTTCGCCACTGTGCAGGTTTATCTACCAGTATTATGTATTATCTATGAATTTATCGAACAATCATTAAAAGAAGTTTGGCCATGATCGTGCGCGCGTCCACACAATCGCAGATCAATCAGTTTGTGTTTATTCATAATACGGTACGAACGTATGCTGTTTTACATATGATCAATGCTAAAATGTCGTAGCCGAAGAAGACCTATAATTAACCATTTATGTTTATAGAATTATACCTAAAGGACATGGATAATTTGGATTTATGTTTCTTCGTCCATATAGTTCAGATGGCAATTAACAAATAAGGGATGGCCGATCGTGTGGACAACCGAAAATTACCTAAGCACATATAGCATTGACCAAATAGCTCATAAATACTTACTACTCTCACCCGAAAATCAGGTTAAAATTAAGGAAATTTAGAGTTTGTTTGTGATGTCGATACAATGTGATATGCTTGATAACGCGATTTTGAAGATATGATTATCGATTTCGCCAAATTAAAATCTTGAAGAGGTATTCCTCTTCAATCAGTAGATATAGATGTATAAGTCACTAATTGTGCATGCTGGTTACTTATTGTGCACTTGATTATATTATTATCTTTTCATTAAAATATCTAGTGTTACTGTAAAGAAATATAATATAGCTCAAACTTTGCTTAAGTACGTTCTTTGTTTATTCTAACAATATAGTGCTATTTTATGATCATAGAGGCCCAATTATTCTAAGGTGCTCAGACTCTAATAGGTAAGAGACGACCCTGTCTTTAGTATATAGTATAAATAGCAATTTTTAGAGACAAATACCACTATATATTTTCCGAATAGGTCAATAAAAATAAAATAAACTGTAACTTCTTATGTCCTAGGCATTAGTAGCTATGGAAGTGAATTTTGTCTGTTAAGCAAATTTGAAATCGTCGTATAGTAAGTACCTCTATAACTACTGTAGTAACGTAGTTGTACTTCGAAGTAAAATGAACGGATTATCTGTTGTGAACCTGTGTGTAAAAGACAACATTTTTTTTAAGTTTCATAAATAAAAGCCAGACTTTTGTTAAAGATATTAGTAAAACGCACATGAGATATTTCATGTACCTATGTAAATAAATTAAATATGAAGACATAAACCTGGAACTTTTGAGTTTATTTAATTAGTTGAATAAATAATTTTTGTGATGTGAAAGTAAAAAGAAATTTGATATTATGTTTACATTTAAAACCGCTACAATTCCTTTTAAGACATGTATATAATGTAATTACCAATTAACATTTTACATGAGAATGATAATTTTTATGAGCAACAATCACATAATTCATAACAAAAATATTATTTAAAGTGAAAGTGAAAATTAGAAAGTCATGAACACATTTTTATGTACATTTGTAATTATTAGAATCTTCAGTCTTGGCAACACTTGCCAGTGCTGTCATTGTCATTGTCATGTTTGTGTTGTGGATTTGTGCTGTGCTGTGGAAGTTATTTTTTAGTGAATAAATCGACAATTTAATTAGTTTTTATCATATAAATACTCTAAAACTGTTTTTGTTTCTTGTAAATATTGTTTTGTAATGTAAAAGTGTAAAATATTTTCGAACGGTGAGTTTAATGACGAAATAAAAGAATAATAACATGCAAATTGGTTGTTGATTCTATAAAATGATAGAGATCGCAAGTTTGTTGTCTTTTATTGCTATTTAATTATCTAAATTGAGCATTATATACGCCATGCGCTCTTCATGATTGTATTGTTTAAACCTTTTGTATGTGAAAATTAGCTATTTAAACTTTCCAAAAGTTTTTGAAACCATGAATAGTTTTTTGTATGACATTGTAATCAACATAAATTACACATACATATTAATACTTATTTAATGACATTATTTAACAATCATACATAAATTTAAATTATTATATTTAAGTTTGTTTTTTATTTTATGAATATCACCTATAATATTTAGTTGTATGTTTGATTTATTTGAGGTCAAACTAGAAACTTAGTTAGCCACTATATCTCCAGTTGTTAACACCCATATGAATTATGCCTCATTTTCAATGTGTGATTTTATCTATAAGGGAAAACCTATGCCGCAACTCTAAGCTCCTTAATAGGCTTATATGAATGATATATCGACTGTGAACCGGCAATATGTCCTACCTTAAAATTTAAGGTATAAAACTTTTTTAACCGCATTTCATATCATTTACCATTTCAAAATGTAATATCTACTAAACAATTTGAATTTACCAGCAAAATCTAGTACATTCAACAAATCCTAACAGCACTTTTACTTGAAATGTGAGCAATTTGTTCTATCTCGTTAAACCACTACTGTCATGGACATGATCTTCAGCTGCTCTTAGGAAAAAAAGGTATAATAGTAATATTTAGTAGTGTACTGTGTTTTATGTTGTTTCCACATATTATTGGTGTTATCCAGGATTAAAAATGGTAAGTATTTAATGGGATTTCATTTTGGTTATGTAATAATTAGACATTAATAATTTGAATAATAAGATAGAATTAAAAATAATTTCTGTAATTACTAATGTAGGTGTCACCAATACAACGAGTTCGCACACAATACAAACTTCAAAAGCTAAAGGGTAAATAATATTTATTTAGAAAAAACAATAAACGATTCTCAGAAACCAAACACGCTTATAAATACTCATGATCATGAATGCCTGCTGTCACCATCAATTCTAGAAAACGAATCTGATAAGGTAATAGATCCCAATAATCACAACATGAATGAAGGAAGAAAACGACGAAAGAAAGCTGACCCTTAACAGTGGAAGAGGAATATTAATAAAAAATAGTATAGAAGGGAAGGCTTAAAATAGTACAGTAAAAACTTTATCCAAAAAGTTTTTAAAAAATCCAAAAAATGCCTTCTCATTACTATAGACAAAATTCATCAAAACTATGTTTATAAACTTAAAGATGTTTATAAACTTTATTTAGTTAAATGTAATGAAACAGGTTTTAATTGCAAAAACGTTTTGTGAAGTTATGAGCAGCAAAAATATTTCCTTGTTTAATGTCAAAAAAGATAAAAGCAATTTATGTACCAGCTAGGGGGAGGCCTATGTTCAGCAGTGGACGTCTTCCGGCTGATGATGATGATGATGATGATGTACCAGCTACGAAGCCGGAAATCTACAGGAAGAGTCTTGGAAAGAACACATAGAGAAGAAATGAAAAACGGAAAATATAGAAAAAGCCAACAGAGGAGAAATAATATTAATAGAAGTATACTTCCAGGCAGTTAAGTAGGCGCCATTTACTCATACTAATGCTTGTTACTACAAAACAAAACTAGCCTGCCATAACTCTACAATATATCATATAGTAAAAAAACAATCAACTTGTTAATGGTTCTCTGAAGACGAAAACAATCAATTAGTATCATCTACTTTTGTCTAATGTTTGATTCATTATCTGGAAAAAAAATAACTGCAGAAAAAACCTATCATAATATTTTCTGATGGATGCACAGCTCAAAACAAAAATAATGTGATGGCAAATCCTCTGCTAAATTTTAGTATGCTTCACGGAGCTTTGATATATCAGAAATATCATGAGGTTGGTCATACCCAGATGGAAGTGGATTCTGTTCACGCATGCATCGAGAGAAAATTAAAAAATTAAGAAATTAAACTCCCCAGTGACTTTATGTTTATTACTAGAGAAACACGTGAAAAGCCAACACCATACGAAGCCTTACCTTACTTATGACTTTTTTCGAGACTATACCTCGTGTGTTCATAAGTTTTGAGATAAACTTTTTACTGAAAAAGTAAAATAAAATGTTACTGGCTGTTTATTTATTTATCGATTTTGAATTTGGAATGTTAACTTTTATTTATTTGTATCGCAAAATAATTTGTTTTTCTCGTGATGGAGGGGACGAAATAATTACGTGAAACTGTCATTTCGTGATTTAAGGCGGGAAAAAACCGATGCAGATTATCCGCAATTTTCTGAAAAGTTTTCCTGTAAGCCGTATTTTCGTCTATTACACAATACAGCAGTACAAAGAGACAAGTTCTCTGCAAGATCGCCAAAAGGAGCGGTCGGTTACGCTCTGAGCGACTTCGCCGAAATCCATATCGTACTCTGAAGAAACTCTCTCTTCAGACTAATATTTCGCGCGTTTCAGTGAACAGAATACTGAAATATGATCTCAAGGTAAAGGCCTGTGGCCGTAGAAAAGTTCAATTTTTAAACAATCGTCTTCGTAAATTATGACACGATCGTTGTCCATTGCTGCTGATGAGACATGATGTCAGGAAGATGAAAAGGGAAGAAAAGTTCAACCGACAAAATAATAAATAGTACGCTAAAAGTAGCGAGGATGTGCACGGAATGTCTCGCGCATGCATCATCAGGCTAGTGTGATGGTATGGTGGAGAGTTTCGTATGAAGGTGTCACTCTGCTCCATTTCTGCCAACAAGGTGTCTAGGTGAAAGCCATGAATTATCAGAGTGTCATTTTAGAGCCCGTGGTGAAAATAAACGTATGATACGTTATTTCACAATAAGGATTGGGTTTTTCACCAAGACTCGGCGCCATCCCATAAAACAAAAATCACCCAAGCTTGGTTGAGGAAGAATGTGCCGGCCTTCAGCGCGACGTACCAGTGGCCCTTCTCCAGCCCCGACCTCAATCCGCTGGATATATTCGTTATGGACTGAATTAGAGCTCAGGACCTGCCGAAAGTCCCACCCATACTTGGAGGCACTTAAGCGAACCCTTGTCCGAGAAGCAAAGCGAATTCCGCTAGAAAAGATTCGTGCCGCCATTGATTAAAAACAAAGGCGGTCATTTTGAATAAAATATATATTTTATTGTTGATTATTATCTATTTAATAGTTACTGAAAATTTTAAAAATATAAGTGAATAATAAAAAAATATACGCAACTTTTATTTGGTCTCAAAACTTTTGAACACACGAGGTACGAAGCCTTTATAATATAATTCTAGGCTGGTAACTTTAATTTCTAATAAAAATCCATATATTGAACCAACTGTATTTTTTTTTTTTGATAAGTCACTGCAAATCTATTATAATTGCGTTTTGTCTACTTCCTCAAAAGTTGACAAAATTAACACAATTTGTCAGTTCACAGTCGATAGCTTTAAATGGTAATGGTATTTGATTAAGATTTTGATAAAGATATACTATATTTTGATTTTAATTTATAGTTAATTTTTCTATCTGAAATCTCAATAAAATATAGTCTCTCTTCATCTGTGTTAATGTTACTGCAATTAGTAATAAAAAATAGACATATGGGTAATAACGAAAAACCATTATTACTATTATTTATATAGATATTAATTTCAGTGTGTCTAACTACAATGGAGAATAACAACACAAAAGCTCTCCGTGATGCTGCTTCTAAATGGTCTCTTGCTGGAGACAAACAACTCCTGGACATCTTACAAAACATTCATCAGGTTTATTGAATTATTGATTCTTATTACAGTTAGTTAATTAAATATCAAAAGAATTTGAATATCCCTAGGTTAATTAGAGAATAATAAATTAATTGGGCTTTCTTTTTTCAATTTCTTACATGATCATCCATTAAAATTTTACGACATTAAGCTTTTATTAATGTATAATTTGTATTGGTTATGTTGCTTTAATTTAATGACAATTCTAATAAATGTTCATGCATATTTTAAAGATTGGTGGATTTTAGATATTTAAAGTGTTTTAGAATATTTAAATTAGTAATACCTTTATGGATCTGTAAGTGAATAAAGTGTCTATTTTAAACAACTTATGATCGATAAGTATTTATCCAATACACCTTTTAGGTGTAACACAACTCTATTCGAAGATGATAAAAAAAATTCATGGAATATTTTTGTATGGAGTCAGGATATCCGACTGGTTACCCATTATTTTTTAATAATGACTTGCGAATAACTGATTTGAATTTATTGGCTATTTGTCTGTTTTAGGAAAAGTATTTTAAAGCTTTCAATGATCATATAAAATAGTATCATATATTTTTTTCTCCAAAAAGTGTTATTCATAAAAAGAATACATTTATTCTTAAATTTGAATGTCTCGCGAAAGCAATCAGTCTCGTGACATTTCGCATCAAAGGCGTTGACGTTTATTTTATTGAAATATGTCGTCACACGATGCTCCGTCATGGCCGCCCGCGTTTTGTTTCTCGTAATCCACAGATTAAAAATAGCAAGTTAATTTTATGAAATTAAAATATACTTACAATTTATTTTAAGACAAAAAATACTACTCACATAGTTATTGTTTACTTATAAGTTACTATTTCCAACATATTTCATAATTTATTGTAAAACTGTCGATAGCCAATTAATAACATATTAATATAAACAGAATTTAAGTATAATGTTGAGGATGAGATAAGGAGGGCTATCCGTTTTTGAGATATCTCGGAAAAGCGATATTGGAATTTTTCTTCTAAAAAAGGTAGATTAACAACTTTATTTATTTGCAGAGTTTGATGACAAAATGCCAGGAGGTAAATCAGCGGCTCGATGAGATGGTGACAGCGCTCGACGACGCTAGTGTCGATCTTCAGAACACTAACAATAAGTAAGTGTCTAAGTTCTGACACACACCACAATATGTCATTTTTCTCCAGTTTATTTTAAACTCTACTCCTAAAGCATTAAGGTCTAAAATGAAGTGGAGAAATTTGACAAATTTGTATGAACTGACGTGTTGTATATGTAACCTGCAACTGAGTCGTGGTGTCTAAGTTGGCACATAAATATACGCAATTAAGGCGCCTACCACACGTGCATGCTTGACCACAGTTTTACTTGCGCATGCCGGCTTTGGGGTTTGCGCATGCTACCATTTTACCAACTACACGCACAGTGTTCAGTGTACAAGCCGGCATGCGCAAGTAAAACTGTGGTCAAGCATGCACGTGTGGTAGGCGCCTAAGGGAGCCTACAACAAAAAAAAAAGATCGTCAAGGGCGAATCCATTTTGGGCGCAGGGATTTTTGTAAAAAAATATAAAATTTTAAAAATCATAAACTTCTTTTCCTTTATCCTGTAATCTATAGTAGAACTTATTTTATGTACGTTTTAAAAAATTTTGGCCCTAGTTTTTTCGAAAATAAGAAAAAGTAGTAATGGTCAATGTTTGTCTATTTTCTTAAAAAGTATTTATTTCAAATATATGTGACATGTAACACAATATAATTTACTCATACAAGTGCTTTAGCTATTTAATTCTAATGATATCTGATCATGTATGTTATGTTGTGTAATGTTCATTTACTAATCCACAGGTTCATGGCGCTCAGTAACACTCAGTTTATTGAAAGTCGCGTGTTTGATGATGACGTCGACGTAACTGCGCAGGAGACACCTAAGGTATGGTTCATATATTTTTTACAAGAAACAAAGTATCAAAAATCCTGTCTGAACGTTTTCTAAACATCTGACCCGTCCGCCTTCTGCAAACCTGACATAAATTGCTTTATAAGACCGCCGATTGTGTCAGATTTTTTTTGTGTTTGAGGTTATCAAAAGACTGTTATCTATATATCTAGTTTTAGGTTGAAATTTAAAGCTGTGCGTAAATATAATCACGAAATGAGACGAAATCAATGCACCCTTCAATGGTGTATGGCCCGAAATGGAGCGTAAAATTAAATAATTATTCATACTAATCCCAGAAATCTATTTCATTAATTAGCCTTGGCTACAAAACGACTATATTTACCAATTTTCTTTGTAATGAGAAAATGTAATTCACTAGAAGAAATCATCATTATCATCATCAGACTGTTATTGTCCCCACTGCTGGGGTACATGCCTTGCTTATGGATGGAATCGAATAGGGAGAATGGGCTATGACCCACCACACGGGTCCAGTGCAGATTGGTGGGTGTTAAAGACGATCCAATGGCTCCCCACGCCTTACGAAGCAGAGAAAAGCTCGGTATAATAAATTTGGTCATCCATCCTATGACTGGCTTTAGCGAAAGCTTCTTAACCTCCGCATCGCAGGCCGAACGCGCTAACCACTGCGCCATCGGGCGTCTCTCTATTATATATAATTATGTAGGCTCATTTCATTGAACGATAAACAAATGATCCACCAATGAAAATTCACCACAGATTTAGCTCGCATTCAGGCTCTAACGACCAATGAAAATAAACCATACATGATAAGAGTGTAATTTTTTTCTTTATAGACCGATGCACCTCCAACCTCAGAAGGTATATCAGAACTGGAAAGCATAAAACAATCTGTGAGGATGCTAGAGTCTTTGCACGAGGCCATACAGATTGTAGACTCCGACTCTGATACAGACTCCGATTCTGAACTCACTAGGTAAATAGGATTTTTTGCAGTGCAATTAATTTTGGTAACGCAAACGAAAATATAAGGTGGTATATTAATTGTTATATACAAGGACTTCTGGAGTGCATGCAATAATAATAACACTTTTTATTATTATATATATTTTTTTACAGTCATGTAAACAGTTGTTGGAAGCAACATAATGAAATGTAGACATAATAAAGCGTCATGAATTCCCTCTATGTTACACTTATGATCCCTCACTTCCCGTGTATGGAATTTCAGATTTGCAGAATATTATCGACTGCAAAGGCAGCTGATACCAACGGTTCAATATAAGATCAGAAACACGAAGATGCTCGAGTTAATAAATTTTTGTTCACCCATCCGTTGACCGTCCTTTAGTAAAATTACTTAACTTACGTAATCGCTTACATAACATTAACTACTGTGTTCTAACACTTTCATTTTGTTTCAATCTAAAATTTCATTTGCTTGTTTGGTTGTAATTTTGTTACAGCATTGTCTTGAGGCCTAAGGACATGTACAAATCCCGTCCACTGCCTCACGTAATCGGTTCAACACAATGGAGGAACAAATGGCACGCCGGTATGTAATTCACTACTAACAATTAATCAATTGGAAGTTGATTTGATTCTTTATTTATAAGTTTATAAAATTTAATAAAAATGAATATATAATAATATAATGAACCTAAAAATATAAAAAAAATATTAGTCTATGAATTTCACTTATGGATGGAATCAAATTGATAGGGCGAGTGGATCATAACCCACCCCATCACGCGGGCCCAGTTTAAATTTGTGGGTATTAAACAACTGCAGATTCAGCTGAAAAAAATTTTTTTTTATTGATCGTGCAATAAAATATTGTAAATTCTACTACACTTTCACATTCAACTCTATCTCGAACAATAATACCCTTTTAAATCACCTTACAGCAAGACTAGTCAAATCAGCATTTCTTATTAAACCAACACAATATCAGTTTCATAAATAAACCAACTTATTAAATGACTTTAAAAAGTTCTGTTTTATGAATAAATTAATTTATTTCAAAATATGGTTTATATTTTATAAATTTCATTTTAAAATATTACAAGTCTATTATAATACTTGTAACTGTTTATTTTAATTTAAAAAAAGCCATAAACAAAATCAAAATTTAATCTTTTTTATACCCGCGAAAACGCTGTCCTTCATAGGTTACGTCTTGAATGACGTCATTGTGATATGCACATTGTACACAAAACAGATGCATAGAATAGAAGATTAATAGATGTCAATAAAACAAGAACAGTGCCATCTAACGATCAATTACGAAATAAAAAAATATAAATAAGCTTAAGAACAGTGCCATCTAGGAATTTGATTTATAATTAATAGGCATATCTTTAGGGCTAATCTGACAGTTATCGCCACAGTGACGTCACACCATAGCGGGTTGTGTTTCAAGACTTTTAATTTTAAAATAATTAGATAACTGTGCGATTTTTAGACTCAAAACTAATAGATTGATGATTCAATAAAAAGACAAGTACAGGCTAACATCTCATAAAACACATATTCAAATCAAAACATCTCTTTGATATTCCTATAATGATTTGACTTGCATGATTTAGACCTTAGCATTTTATTTGTAATATATATTGTAAAAGACGTGGCGAGTGTAACTTTCTAAGTTATATGGCCAATAAAAATCCTTACAAAAATTGCTCAAATGTCACTTTGCACACCGAATGTTCTAAGCACTATACCAACAAACTTAGTGTCATTTTTTTTTCTATGTTCAGGTCTTCTGGTAGAGGACAGTGATACAGACAGTGTAACGTCTAAACCTGCGGCGCCGGATGAGATATATTCCGAGTCGGAAACGGACGAATCACTAGTCGAAAACGATCGGAACGATGTGCCTTACACGCAGGTCAGTGAGAATTTCATTTACATATTTATTTTACTATCTTCGTCGCCGATTTTTGCCATCTCTGAGGCTCTGAGATCGATTCCTGGTCGGGTAAATTTATAAAATAAACTTTTTTGTCTCAGGTGTGGGTGTTGTGGTACCTTTTTCACCACAATATCAGTGCTTTAGCTACTTAATTTGGGTTAATGTATATGCGGAAGCACATTGCTATAATCGTGAAACTATGATATCTAGCAACTTAGGTCTTGCGTATACTGACACGTTAGGTCTTCCTTATACTGACTGGGTGTAGAAGTTGCTAGATATCACAGTTTCACGGTTTTAATGTATATGTTTTCTGATATTTGTTTATATTTAACTGTTGGCCTTCCATTCAAAATAGGGTATTTGACACTATCGAAAATAAGTTGCATTCTGTAGTCATCCTGATAGATAATAATTTTTAACATCTGCAAAAAAAAATGTTTAGATTTAGTAAAATACGGTTAAGAAAATGCAATCTTTTTAGGAATTTATTCAACGACGAAAACGTCCTATAATTGGTCGTCGTCATAACCAATCACGATTCTGTTTACTGATCTGTGACGTTATCAACTGTCATGTCAAAGTAGTGTTAGAACGATACATTATTATATTAGGTATCGAGTACTTTATAGTAATTAACTGATAACAGAATACTTTGCCGCTTCTACTGATAAGAACTGCCAAAAAGAAATACAGAAAGAAAGAATCATTTACTAAGCTTTTTAAAAAATCCAAGAAATAGGGAAAACGCCAGCAATTTAAAAAAAGAGCAGCTTACATGTTTTTCTCATTTCTTGAACTTTAATATGATAATTACAAAGTCGATATTGATGATATATACTGTTCTCCAAGTTAAAAACTAATTTAAAAAAGTCATCGGGATCTGATATCTAATTATCAAATGCCATGCATTAAGTGGACAGACATACTACATGCATGTATAAAAAAAATAGAACATTCTAATTCGTACTAATGTCTCATCCATCTGTAAGTCGACAGGCTGTAAAGTGCGAGCCTTGTCAACAAATATAAATGAGTCGTAAAATGTTTATGACAAAGAAAAAAACCAAAAAGAAAACCTTCAAATGTATCGATATAAAATAAAAAAGTTTCAATACTTTTAGCGAATCCTTACCTAATTTTATCACCCATCTCTACTCTATATAGCTACTATATTGTTGTGATTGTGAATCTATTTTCTTCTAGACACGTTTGTTTGTTATTTATAGAAGTATTAGTACATCGTGGCACTACGCACCACTTGTAGCTCATTTTATAAAGAAAACCAGAGCAGAGGAAAATAAAAACGTAAAAATACGCACTACGACTTCAATTTCTCTTCTAAATTATTCACATCATCACATCACCAGCCCTTTTACGTCCCCACTGCAGGGGCTCAGGCCTTCCTTATGGATGGTTAAGGAGGATGGGCCATGACCCTCCACGCTGGCCCAATGCGGATTGGAGGGTATTAACGACTGCAAATGCAGCCGGGACCAACGTCTTAACGTGCCTTCCGAAGCACGGAGTAGCTCGAGATAATAATTTTTTGGTCACCCATCCCGTGACCGACCCTTGTGAAAGTTGCTTAACGACTACGATCGCGGGCCGCGGCGCTTATCCACTACGCCACCGAGCTACTCTAAAATTATTATTTCAATTTATTCTAAAGACAGATGTTACTTATCGATTTGACATATTTACTGGCCTGTGACATCACGATCAGCGCCATTGCATAGAGCAGCGTTTTTCGCGCGCTTTTGGCTATTTTAATTTTAACAATTATTTTCACCAAAAATAGAAAAAAATCCAATGAAATATTATGACGTGTTTATAGTGTAGCAAACAACGATTTAAAACAGTTTTCAGAAAAGTGTCAAATACCCTATTCATACGTGAATTCAAATCGTATTTGGCCGATTTTACAATATTTATTCACTATTGTATTCAGCAGGAGGGTAGTATTAAGTCTGAAGAATCTTTCCCGGTTCAGCAGACATCTAACCCCACACCGTCTGACGTGGCAGCCGAACTGGCGAGGAAACTGCGAGGCAATCACACACAGGTTGGATTTAATTAAATGAAGATATTCTTTATTAAAATAAATTTAAATTAAAAAATATATAAAAAGGCTGTCAATCAAACCATTCATAGATTTCAATGAAAATGTCGTAAATTTGTTAGTGGTTTTATTTTGTCAACTCGAAATCGTCATGATCCGCCCCAAATTCTCATATTTCTTCCATCATGTTTTTTTTTAAATATCTAATTAAAAATCGTAATGATAAATACAGTGCTTTATTTTCAGGTGCCAGAAGTTGAAGAGTTCGTACCAAACCAACCTACCACCAAAAAAATTTACAGGCCAGAACAACCAGCCGCCGGTAAGTCAGTAAAATTCTGAGAATATCACAAAGTAGTTAAGCATCGTTAGACTATAGCGATGTTAACTTTATTTTTTCAAACGTGTATTTTTTTTTTGTTTTTGCGTGATGAATAAAATTCAGCGATACATTTTCTACATAATCGTGACGTAGCGAGCCTCTAAAAAGTTGAGCACTTTATTGCCTATTGTCTAAGTCATTTCTTAATAACTTAAAGCAAAACTTAAAAAAAAATCTATTGTCTGACCGACGGACTAAAAAGAATTTACCCAACTATCAACCTATAAGAAATATCAAGACAAGAATCTAGACAATTACTTTGCCTTGTAAACTGCATAATTTTTCTAATTGTATAATAGGTGTCTTATTCTTTATTCAAAAATAATTTTATATGAATAAATATTATTATTACGTATTACCAGGTATAATATTCTCGGATGAACCCCCACCTTTCGAAGAGTATCAATCAGAAGGTGAAGAATACAGTCAGGAAGAGGACGACGATATATTCGCAGAGTTGCAAAAGAATAAACCTTATTCTAATAAGAGTAAAGTTGATACTCGTGTAGCAGAAGATTTGTTCGGTGGACTAAGCGATAATAAAGATTTTCAAGGAGATATATTTAATGAAATCGCTGGGACTGAGGTATGTGTGCCCATTAGCAATGTTTAATTTTCTTGTAGATATTCACGAATTATATTTTTTCCCTTTTATTCTTTGAATATGTTACTTATCCGATAAAGGAAACAAAAATCTCAAAATTAAATTGTATCATTAATTACACCATCGTAATGTTAAGAGCAACATATTATAGTTATTTACTATATAACCATTAAAGTAATATTTGTATAATTATATATAAACATGAGATAATATTGTAAAACATGTTTCATATTATTTAAATTTTAGGCAACGTTACCTCGGGTTGCTAAACAAAAATCGACCTTATTTGAAAATGAATCTGAACCAGAGTTGTTTGCTAGCAAACCGATAGAAAAACCTGCAACGAAACAACGTAACGACCCTCCTGACGTTGAAACAGTTAAGGTAATATATACACCAAAATCGTAATCTATCCTTGTAAAGAGAAAAATATCGATAATCAATTTTAGATATTTCTGTCACCTTTAATATAGTTGTCATATCAATTCGTTAATTCGGTAAAAAAAGTTGCCTTCGGTTCGCGAATCTATAGCGGTCTAGCTATAGAGAAGAACCAGCAAGAAACTCAACAAGGGCTGTTTTTCCGTTTCGTTTCATATAGAGCTGTCACACAGAAAACATGTCAAGGAGAGTGTGAATTTAAAAATCAATTTCTATTCTATTCTATTATCAGTGCATATTTCCGATGTGAATAAGTAAAAAAAACGTGACAATATTGAAATATAAGCACTATGATTTGAAATTTTTCCTGTTTTTGGACTCACAGTTACGTTTTTTATTTCCAGAAACCAGTAGGTGGAATTTCTTTATTTGGTTCCAATAGCGGCGCGGAAAGCATAGGAGCTGCCATTTTAAGACGAAACCGTCGAAAATCTTCATCAGATGAAGAAAACACTAATGAAAAAATACAAAGGCCTAAACAAACAAGAGAAAACTCGGTTAAGTCTACAGAGAAAGATATATTTGATGATCTATTCGCTAAATCTGAAAGAGAACAAAAGGTCGCTAAAGAAAAAAAGGATAATGTCATAGATAGTAATAAATACGCTGAAGCTAAAAAAGTTGACTTATTCAGTGATAATCTATTTGATGATATCGACGATATATTCACAACAGACGTGAATGTTAGTTCGAAGTCAAATGAGAACCAAAAGTCACTTTTTGACGATGCGGATGATGATCTATTTGCAAATATAGCTGTTTCTGAAACTGTGAAAATTGAAGTTAAAGTTGAAAGTAAAAGTGTTTTTGATAGTGACGATGACTTGTTTTCTGAAAATGTGAAACCTAATACAAAAACACATAAAGAAACAAATAAGATAAGTCATTCAATTGTAAATGAAACTAGTGAGGTTAATTTAAATAGTAAAAGTATATTTGATAACGATGGCAGTGATAGTGATATATTTTCTAAATTAAGTGAAACTAAAGCAACTTGTAGTAATGCTTCCGAGAAAGGTATAGACACAAAAAATAAAAATGTTACTTCAGAAATTAATGCAGTAGTTAGTTCTCAAATTATAAACAAAACCCCAGGCATGAGTAATATGTCAAATAATAATAGCCATAACCAGACTGGTGCAAACCACCATAAAGAAAAATCTGGATTACTATTTGATGATGACGACAACGATGGTGATCTTATATTTACGAAAGTAAATGAAAATGTATCAATTCCTAAGAAAATTCGTAAAACATCAGTTGATTCATCGCCACCGAAAAACCTAATCATAGATACTGAAAGTGATATTAGAACAACCAAAATTTCGTTATTTGATGACAATAATGATTCTGATTTATTCACTAGATCTACCGAACCATCAACTAAACAAGATGGCGTAAAAAATATTCCACTGTCATCAGATGATGTTAATAGTAAAACATCAAATAACTATAACGTATTCAGCACTACATCAAAAGAATATGCCAATATAAAAATATTAGAAAATATTTCTGAAAATAATAATTTACAAAAAGCTGACAACACTGATAGAAAAGAAAATAGTGAAGCTTCAGATATAAAATCGTCAACATTTGATGATAGTATTGGTAATAGTGATCTCTCTTTTGTTGGCAATAACAATACAATGTCTTCCACCAATATAGATACAAACACTGGAAACAAACATATTTTTGATAAAGTTGTAGATAGTACTCCTAATAGTGAAAATTTAGGAACCATTGTTAATAAAAATACATTAAATTCAAAAGTAGAAACCAAAAATCAAAACGAATTTAGAAATGATGAAAAAATATTAGACAATAAAATAAAAGAAATAAGTGCAGACCAAGAAAATGTACACCTAAGTAAAGAAAACTTAAGATATAATATCCCAAAATCTGACTATGATAATTCGTCCTTACCTACAGATGAAGACATTAAAAATAATAGTTTATTAAATACGGTTAAAGATGCACTATTTAATACGTCAGATGATATATTTAAAGAAATCGTGGACGAACCACCAGCATTTGAGAAACCAAAAGAACCTAAAAAGAGCAAAAACGTCAATGCGTTATTCGATGATGATTCAGATGATGAAGCTTTGTTTTTCAAAAAGAATGATGCTACATTTGATGAAAAACCAGATAATTCTATAAGTAACAATGACCCAATGTATGGTGTGTTTCACAATGAACCTCCGGCTATTAACGCTAACAATACTACAAGTACAAAAAAAACTGCTAATGAACAGTTGGAATTTGACTCCGATGACGATTTATTTCAAACAATAAAAAAAACTGAATCAGTTTCTACAAAAGGTAATGAACGTTCTCAAAATTTAACCGCATCTACTGATAACATTTTCAACACGAACGCTGATGATGATTTATTCAAAACTAATACAACTACTATGCCTTTTAAGGCAAACGATAAATCTTCCTTTGACATTCCTGAGACCAGTAATGTTTTGGCAAACGAAGATTTCCCCGATTCTTATTCGAGCCAAATCGTTCAAAAGCCAATTTCGTTATCAAAATCCGCTACTGAACAATTGCAAAAAGACATATCAAAAACGGATATAAGAGATAATTTAAACGAACAATCAAATTCAACTCTTACTACTGAATCAATAGAACCCACAACAGCCAAACTTCAAATGCCTAAACATGAATCTCTTTCTTCTGACACATTAGATAGTCCAGAAATTAAAAAAGTAGGTAAATTAAAGAGTATGAATTTCAACATAGATGTGAGTACTTTACTTCCTGGAGCATCTCCGAAGAAAAAAGGAATGGAACAAACAGACGGACAGGTTTTATCTACCAAAAGTCAGGAAGACTTACACCAAAAAGACATAGAACAAACGATTATAAAATCTCTAAGTTTCGAAGGAGAACCTGATTCACAAATCCTAGATAACAAAATATCTAAAGAAAGAGCTAAAATTCAAGTCAAAAGAAAACCTAGCACTAGGAAAGCCAGGAAAGAGGCCGTTCGGAAATCTGTTTTAGATATAGGTGAAGATTCCACTGATAACTCTAGTTCTTTTGATGACGTACCGAAGCCCGACGTAGTTAATAATGAAATTAAACAGGTTAACAATGTAGAAGAAGATGATAGCAGAGTTGTAAATAAAATAGAACAAAATTCTGGCACGAAGCAAGAAGACTACTTTTACACTGATTGTGAAACCAAAAACGAAAAGATAAAAAATTATAAAAATGAAATAATTGATCAAACTTCTCTAATGTTAAACAATGATGTCACAATAAACGACAAACATAAAAATATATTAAATGCAGAATCAGACACTAAAGTTCATTTCGCATCAGAAGAGGCACTTTCAAGAAATAACGAAGTCAAAAATGTCACGTCTAAAGTAGTGTACATACTTAATGATGAAGATATATTTAATGCACCGGCTGAAAAATTTGCGGAGAATCCCAAAAAGTGCTTAAATATTTTAGATGATGATGATGATGATTTGTTTGCTAATCCAGGGCATTCTTCAAACATATGCGAAAGAAAACCTACTATAAATACTTTAGGAAAAGTTTATAGTGAAGCTAAACTAGAAAGAAATAAAGATACAAGTACTAAAAAGTCTATATTCGATGATTTAAGTGAAGATGAAAGTGAGCTGTTTAATGCAAATAAAAAAGTGGCGACCAAACCGAAAAGTATTCTAGATTCGGACAGCGAGGACGACTTATTCAGTGGTAAGAAAGAAACTAAACCAAAAGTATCGAGTGTGAAAGATACAAAAGACCTAAAGCCGAAAGTAGAAGTGAAAGCTTCACTATTTGGCGACGACGATGATGATGATTTGTTCGGTGCCAAAGTTAAAACTGAAAGTGGTAAGTTTTTTTATTATATTATTTATGTAGTATAAACTGAATGTCAATAATAATACAACTGTAAAAATGTTAAATGAGAAGTTACTGAATACAATGTATAGCTGCAACTTTTTGTCGCCAGACTGCAGCACTAGCACGTGTAGTTACCTTTCTTCTTCTTTTTTAATACATGGCCTAGTTATGTTCACACAATGCCGCCAATGCCACGTTGATGGCCTTTACACGTAAAGAGACAATAACAAATACAATAATTTTGTGTATTTATGTACCAGAATCTGATGGTAAATCGGGAAATTTTAGACATAGATTATCTGCGTGGGACATAATATACAAACATACACCTGTACACTCGATTTTACCAACATCTGATATTTTGACGGAACAGCACCCGGCCCAAAAAACCCATAATAAATAAATTACCTGACTCCGCTATGCTTTACTTTATGTATTTCTTTATTGCAAATCTCTACTAATATTGCAACTGCTGTTATTCTTGTTTTCACGGTTCCTATTTCACCTGATATAGAAAAATGTCTTCATATCTTCTCCGTCACTAATAATTCGTTTTATTGTAGTAGTCGACATGCCGAGGAATTTTTACGATTTTATTCTTTAACAAATAGTATCAAGTAATAAGTATCAAGACTAGTCACTGCTAGTTACCGGTGGATTAAAACAAAAACGTTTGTCTTCAGCTTCTTTTCACAAATTTTGCCATAATCATTAAAAACAATATTTCTCGCTTGAGATATCAATTTCTTTTTGGGCAGTTACACAAAATAAATTTATATTTTCACAAATATTCACAACGATTTACACTTTGACTTGACAGTTTTCATCAGTAAACAATTTATGTTGCCATATTAAATCGTTATATTTTCTTTTATTTTTATGCCATCAGATTCTGGTACATCATTAATAAACGTCAAATGTCATTTAACCAGTTGTTAAGAAAGAGTAAAGTCACAGAATAACGCTCCGTACAAATTTGTTGTATCATGTGACGGCACACGTTACTATGGTAGCAAAAAATGTATAGGCATCTGGGCAATCTTTGTAATATGATAAAAATATTTATAAGTTATAATAGTTTATATTTTCTGAACATATAACAAAAACATTATTTTCATTTGTAGGCAGCATCGGTATTAAAAAAGTGTAATTCATTTTATCCAATAATTCATGCTTGCTGCATATTTGGATGTAAGAAGGAAGAGAATCATATATTTCCAAAAAACAAAATGTTCGAAATATTTTGTTTGTTTGTTAATTATTCTAGTACTGCCTTCTACGCCAAGCTTAACGTAACATTCTCTATTGCTTTGTCACAATTCTTCATATCATAAAGGAACGTAATCACTATGTGAATCATTTAGGATCTTCGAAATAGTTAATATGTCGCCCTCTTTGAACTACGTTCAAAATAATACCATTATTTATTTACAGGCTTATTAATTTATATAAAAAAACTTATTTCAGTTTCGAGTACAGTACCAATAAAAACACAGAAGGAAGTGGTAACTAAAACCTCAGAACCAGTGCTCAACGACCCGTTGTCTATGCTTAGTGGTGAAGATGATTAATGTTATATTTATTTAATGATACTATAACTCATAAATATATACAGGAATAAATAAATATTTACTATCCAATATAAAATGAACGAACAAAATGTTTCTTATCAATATTACATGTTTGAAAACTTTTTAGTATCTGAACTCTATGCCTTAAACATAAGTGATGTTTATCATTGTGCCGTGACATCTGGCAAAGAATCATGTCCAATTTTGACCTAAAGAATTACTAAAAGGCCTAGTGATATGATATATCTCAGAACGTAGCTAATTTTTTACTTATTTTATATCAAGAAATTAAATCTTAAAATCAAATCAGGATAAAAATTGCGATGCCTATAATCATTTTTAAATGATAACTACCCAAATGCGAATCGGACCTAATGACAGTTAGCTACGTTTCGTTTCATATAATACGAAAAAATATTCTTCCGTCATTTATATCAAATTTAAAAAACTTTGGTTTTAATTCATTAATTGTTAAAGTAGCTTCACAATTATCTCGAGTTTTGACAACTGTTATAACCTCAAAACATTATTTAAAAATTACAAATTTTCCTGGCCTCCAGATGAAAAGATGCTACGATGTTATTATGTGATATATAAGCAAAACTAATTTAAATCATCACTAATGGTGGGCAGTCGCGGCCTTTAAAAAAATATGTCAGGTCATTCAATGTATGGAAAATGGATATGATTTTTTACATTTGTCTACTGGAGGAAATATAATTTACATATATATTTACAAATATAAATATCAAACAGACTTTGCAATTTTGTATTATACAATAAAAACGGGCAGAATGAGAAAGTCTGAAACTGTAAGATATACGAAGACCTGATCTTAAATCCATTTATAATGACATTGCGAACAAAAAGAATATTGGAACAGTTTCTGTATATTTTTATATCTTAAATAATAGCCCACAACTAATTCGTAAACACCTTTTTATTTTGATTTAATTTTATTTAAAACATACGTATATTAAGTTCTAACTAATACGACGCATTATCAAACTTCGTTTGCGCAGATCTACCAATTCCAAAGACCAATGTATGACTTTTTTTTTTAATGAACCTTATGAGGCGTTACTTGAATCATACTGATTGGTCGACGTTTGCCGCGCTTCGAAAGTTAATGTTCTGCGTTGTTACATCGGTCTTGCGTGCTCGAATAGCCCCCGAACTTGAGAACATTTTGTCTACACCCAGATGTCACTTTTCTCGAGTGCGCCTATATTATATCTCACTCTCGACCCGAGAAAAGTGACGTTTGGTGTGGATAAAGACTTTCTCGAGATTGTCGTACTACGCGTGCAGTTGTATATACTGTACACATTGTTTTGTTTAAAAAAAAAAACTTAAATATAATATCCCCTATAAATTCATTCTCCAAAAACGTCCTTTAAGACTAAATTTCTATTACAAATTTGATATGTACAGTACAGTCAACAGCACGACAGGTTATACAAATCTGCCAGATTTCTCCACTTAATTTTAACCTTACCCGTTTAGGTTAGAGTTTTAAATCAACTGGAGAATTTTGACATTGTGATAATCCGACTAGCAACCCTGTAGGCCAAAAAAGTATAACAATACCTATTGCAATGCGTATACATCTGCGATATCAAATTTATTAAAATAAAAAAGTATTTTTTTTAAATACCTTTTTAGTTTGACATATGAACCATAACATAAATATGATTAGCATTTATTTACCAATAAAATTATTAGTCAAACTTACCCCTAATTAAACATTCCCATAATACTTTACTAACCTTACTAATAAGAAACTGATAACGGTTGTTTAGTTTAACTTAGCTCTGTTCACTTCATTTCAATGTAACATTTACTTCGAGTGAAAAATACAGAACACTGAATAAACTACATAACATTTATACATTGCTCATTGGTAAGACCATATTATTATTTGTTTTTTATTCGTCAAATTATTTTAATCTTAGTTATGAAGATTGCCAAAACTACTTTTACTTATATAAAATAAATTATTGTGTAGTGTTTTGGCAACAATTATTTTCAATTTTGAAATATTAATGTTTGTAATCTGTTACTGTTTTGTTATGTTCATCTTTGGTAATATTTTTTAAGTAAAACTTATATAATAAAAATAGACTTAACAGCCGTATTTATCAATTGTACTAAAGTTGGTTTGGAATGCATTCTATTAACCCAGCTAGCAGCCAGAAAGTGTGATTTTTAGTGTACGCGTCTTTTATTATATTTTCCAATATTAAAACGTATTATTGCATGTTAATTATGCGTTTTGTTATAAAAATTAATGATAACTTTTTTTCTCCTTGTACCTAAAAACAAATCTCTCAGTACAGTTACATAATACCAAAAAAAAATAACATTATACAACTTCTTTTTAATGTGTATCGTGTATCTATAATAATATTATTTGAAACAAGCATTGTTTTGTAATTTAATAAATAATTATGATATTTTGTTATACAGAAATTATTTTTAAGATTTTATTGTTATAAAATACCTATAAAATTATTTGCTACTGATAAAATAATTATTCAAATATTTTCACTATATATTGTTTATTTATTGAATTAACTTGTATAGTAATTAGGTACATGTAAATAATTGTTATAGCATTTATTTAATTTTAGTTATCATAAATTATAATTAATAACAATACATTTTATGAAATCTCTAGCACAGCTGTGAAAATAACATTTCTGAGAAACGTGACACCTAAATTCGGAATTTAATTTTAATCACTTAACATTTGTAATATTTCAGTATGCCGAATTTATTATAACGAAATCATTTAATATAAAAACTTTATTTTATTTTAAAAAATAATATATAATTCTATGAAGCAAATTAATTATGTAACTTGAACCACAAGACGGTTTCCGCGCAGGTACAGTCAGTCACAGAATATAAAGCGTTGCTATGGCTACTCCCTGCGTCTCACCCTCGTACCTCAATTGAGGCCCGAAATGTGAAACTGAACATAGTTCAACTTATGTGCTGTGATTTGCTATGCTGATCGGTTCAAAACCTATTTAAAAACAGTATCGGACTCGATGTCGAGCTCAGCGCTATTAAAGTGTAGAACTTAAAAAAATAAAACCTTTACTTACTTTTGAATAAAGTTTTATTTACAGCGCTGTATTTGAGGTTGTTTTTATAACAAAATAGCACTGCTGTACTGGCTTGTTCAGTAACCGCGAGATAATTGATCTCGATTTTAAGGTGTCCAGTCGGCGTGTCAGAAATATTACAAATGTAAATCCACCCTTAAAAGTTGTAGCGTTGTTGAGCTCGGTAAAAGTGCCTAAACTGCTATTCTTGTACGTATATCGAGATTATGTTTTTAATAAATGTTATGTAATTTTCAAAAGTTTCTTTCATTCATAGGCTAATACTAAAAAAGTAAACAATGTATGCGTGATATTTGCGATGATTATAATGATATACAGCCAGTTTCACAAACGTCCATTCAATTTTATGCGACATTATTACCCATAGAAATTTGACATTCATTCAGCCAGTTGCACAAACGTCTATTAACGTTTAATGACGCCTTTAGGCTGTTATGAATGTCTAATTTGTATGAGTAATGTCGCTTTAAACTAATCACAATTTAATGGACGTTTGTGATTAGCGCTTAAAGGAGTCATTAAACCGTAATGAACGTAACGTGCTCTTTATGGTTGACTAAAATAGCAACTGCAATTATGATTTTCACAACAAATAAACCTAATTTCACTAAAAATTAATATATCTAATGTGGCCTCATTTCATTATTACTTTTGGCTATGACTTAAAATAAATTGTTCTTTCCGTTTATTTTCGCGTTATCACAAAGTAAATGTTATGCAATCACTATAACAATATTTTGGGTGTGATTCATAAATATTTCAATAATCAATTAATAATGTATCATCCATCACATGTATTTATTCTCTATCTTAGCCATGCTGATCGAATCTTACAAATATATAGGTAAGCTTCTGGTTCTGCTAGGCGGTAATGAAATATTTCGTAAGGAGGATCAGGCACAATCGTAGCCTGATATTTTGTAGCAGATCATGGAGAACTCTGCGTTCCTACTTCTTTCGGTTATCTCAAGAACTCCAACGAAGCATTAAAACGTTAAAAAGGCCGAAGAAGAAAGAATATTTTATTGAAAGCAAAAACATGGCTTTAGGAGCTAAGATCTTATTGTTTTAAATGTGCATTTTTTTACTGAGATGTCATGATTGATATTTATGTGCCCCAAGATTTGGCTGTATGACTTAATCACTTCGCCTGTTCCATGGTCGAAACTACTATTATTGACATTTATGTGACAGTGACATAACGTCAAATGCACGCAAATTCGCAAATGCACGTTTTCTTTCAATCTTTTTTATAGTTTTCGAAGAGCATTAAAATGAAAACTGTGACGAAAAACAAAGAGAAAAAGAGCAAGAATAATAAGAAAACCAAAATTAAACCTAAGAAAGAAAAAGTATTATTAGTAGCCCAAGAAATAAAATTTGCAAGGCTTTTATGCGGCAATGAGAAAAAAACGCGAGATCGTGTATTAAAAACATTCAAAAAATGGCTTTTGAATTGTTTTGATAAAGGCTATGGTAATATAATTAACTACAATTGTTTTTAGAATTGATCTATTATATACCACATAAGTAAGGCGTCCTAAAACGAGATGCTACATTATAGTACATAACCTCAAATATGTCATGTTGTTTACCTAAATTTTATTATTCGTGTTTAAAAATGATTTTAAATGACTTTGTTCCCAATTAGATCAATCGCAAAATCAAAACAGCAGTTTTATTGTACATTTTCAGAGTTTAAAGAAGATGACTTCAGTCGTATATGGAAGGGATTGTTCTATGCCGTTTGGATGTCTGATAAACCACTAGTGCAGGTTTGCTAAGCCTTTTTTATTTTTCAATGTATCGTGTTAAAAGATTTCTGAAAGTGTATTAATTTTTTGTTATTTAAATGAAATAGCAACACAATGGGTAATTGTACAATTTAAGAGTTAATGTATATCTTATAGAAAAGAAGAGCCTACTCTGCCATTTTTTGTCTTACTATTAAGTGCGGGTGCTTAGATCAGCTCCCACTGCGTGTTTGTTGTGATTGTGATTGACCCACTTCTAGTTACAAATTCATAGTCAAACAGAGCTTTATTATTCAAACTATTCTCAGTAATAAAAAAAATGCATATACAATTTGATATGTTTTATTTATTAAGATGTAAATTATTTTTGTTTGGGTTTGCAACACCAAGTTGATGCTCTATAAAATGAAGGTAGAATATGACTGCCTTTGTTACAAGTTTATACGGCAAATTATGAGACGACACAGATACAGTTACAGACACAGTCACTGTTATGTTTAGCTGGGAAATAAACAAAACAGATTTTTTTACATACATAAATAGAATAATTAAAAAATATTTCCATACTAAAAGGATGAATGCAGATTTAATCATATCACTCTTTCTTTTCTCTTATAAGACTAATGTTAGTATTTTCCAAAGTAATGGGGTTCAATGCATATTAAATGAACTGTAGTTGGTGATTTTCCTCTGTTTAAAATTTCTATGTGTGCCCTCTTTTTCTCTAAGACAACTGAGAGATAAATTAGAATAGTCAAATCTAGATCTAATTTATATAGTATAGTAGTAGGTTTTTAATAGTAGTAGGTAGGAAAGTTTGTCCTTGACAAGTAAAACTTTCATAGTTATAATTCAATGGGGGTTTTATATTCTTAGTAATTTTCTCTATATAAATTCTAATGAATTGCAATAACAATTTTATTTCAACATCTGTATTCAATCACATTTGCACACTGATTTTTAAATTTTCTGTTTGTGGCAAATTAAAAAATGAACTGTTATATATTGTCTCAGATCTCAGAGTTGTGTTACCTTTGTTAATTTACATTTCCTTCAAATTATAGTGCCTTAGCTACTTATTTAGGATCTGGGGGGTGTGTATGATGTTTTCTAATAATTAATTAATGTTGTTGCAGGAAGACTTATGTGAGACAATATCGGGAATACTAGACCTATTCCCACCGCAACAGCTAAAATATGCTCTGATGATGATAAAGGCTGGTTTCAAAGTGCTTGCACTAGAATGGTATGGCATCGATCATCACAGGATGGACAAGTTTCTTATGGTATTGTTGTTTATATAAATATTACGTTATAGACTATTTTTTTCTTGTCTTGTTTTATGGCGAATCTTGTTCTTTCCATTGTATTTCAAATCAATGTATCTCTGTAATTTATCGATTATGCATGAAATTTAAAAATATGTTTAATATTCTTTAATAATCTTTTTGATGATGGCTACTGCAAGATATCTCTATATCCGCTGATGATATAGTTATTCTATTTTTGCTAAAGCACATTCTAAATAATGTTCTAAATCAAGACTTTTTTATGCCCCTTTTTATTAACCTAGAACAAGGCATAGCTTAACTAGAAATAATATTAAGAATAGTATAAGCAGATTTGTTGTTTTACTAAACCTGTAAAGTTAGGTAATGCATTACAAAGCAATTGCTTAGATAGGCAACATTTATGTATGATTTTGCATGATTAAGTTCTTTTTTTTAATATATGGCCTATTTGCGTTTATACAATTCCACCAATGTTATTAGCCTTTTCACATAAAGAGATAATAACAAATTTACATATTTTGAGGTAAAATTATGTGTTGTCTTGCATTTCACTAGCACCCAACTCGTCAATGCCCATATATAAAAGTCCAAAAATGAAAAAATCTCATTGTTTATATCTTAATTGTTTATATCTTAATTCTTTCTATTATATAAAGTCCTTTATTCCAACTTACTTAATTGATTTTATCCCTTGACACATATGTTACGGCCAAAGAGTAAATGTATCTGTCATATTGGCAAAATAAATGCTTTATTATTATTATATTATGCAAATTAGGCACTAGGTGCTAACTAACTTTACTGCGTACCGAAACGCATTTTTACCTTTGACAATGCCCAAATATTTAGGTGTCAGATTTGGGTGATTCCCTAAGTTTAGTGAAAATGAGAACTAGTATTCTTTCATTAAATTTGATAAAAAAACCAAAATCTTTTTGTTTGTTGGGGGTACCCATACAATAGCTGATTAACCTCCATGGGGGTATACCAGCTTAGAGCAGCTGTTACCCCTAAGTTGGAAACAGCTGATCTAAACTTATTAAAATTTATGCCCCTTAAATGGATTGAGGGTAGAATTCAAAATAAACTGGAAGTTTGTCTCATTGCAGTCATTTTGGTAATAAATAGTTACATTGTATTTGATTTATCAGTTGATTCGTCGCTACTTACGAGGGAGTCTTCGATGCCTAAGACGTTGTGAATGGAATTTGAAGAGCTGTCAGATGTATTCTGACATGGTGTCAGGGACTGATGGTGAGTGGAAACTGATTAGTTTTATAGTATGAAGGATAAATCCCAAAGTTTTTTAAACCTAATCATATAAAATTACATATACAAATGTTTATAATAAATACATTTTGTTTAGTCATAAATCAATCAATTAGTAATTGGTTACTTGAGTATATCGCGAAAAGTATTTTAAAATTTATATATGATAATATTAAACCCTTTGATTAAACTAAATAAGGGAAGAGAGGGCTTAAGCACTTTGTTAATGGATGCTATAAATTGGATGCATGCACACAATTTAGTATTTGACACTATTAATATGGTTGATCACTCTACAAAGGACATACACGCTGAAAAAAAAACATGCGTAAAATTCAGTTGGGGCGAAAAAGGTTAAACAATTGCCTGAATGTGCTTTTATAAACAGTAGAAATAGTTCAAGAACAAGCTTCACGCCATCACATTTCCCTTGTAAATATATTAAAACACATTTTTAATTGAAAATTAACTACATGGGCGAGAGAGAATGGATATCATCTGCAGTGTGTTATTATGCGCATGCGAGTAACGATTACAAGTTTCTGTCTCGGTCATGCTAGTATTGAAAACCATTGCTGTCAGTGCCGAATCCAGCCAGATCGAGGCCCGTAGCATATCATATTTTATTAATTGATTTCAATAAACATAAGTACCAGTTGTGATGTTTAAAACAAACAAATACTCTCAAACAAACGATGACTTTAGTTTATTGAAATGTGACGTCACGCAATGCTCCGTCATGGCTGTCCGCATTTCGGTTCTTATAATCTACATATAATAAATCTCAAGTAAATTTTGCAAAAATAAAATAAAACAAAAAATTATTTACATTTTCAAATTCATAGTTTCTTCTATATTAAGCACCCATTGTCTTAAACTGTAGAAGCTATTAAAGAAAAAATAAAATACCTCAAGTAGGATTCGAACCATCTTCTGATATATCCGCTAAAAAATACTCAGGGATTTTTAATTATATTAATTTTATAATAGGTTATGTAACATTATTACAATTGGACTACTTTTAGGTATTCTAGCACTAAAGACACCTAGTTACGCCCGTAACGCAAACTCAATGCTGATGCACTACATTGATTGCTTCTTGGAAGAACTCTCCAAGGTAAGTGTTGTCCTTATCTCATATAACTTGCCATTTTTATGTGCAATTTAAAACTTACAAACAATATAAGGGTCTAATAACTTTCTGAATTGAGAATTTAAAGTTAAGAAACGTCTTAAAGTGTACTTACACCAGTTTTCGTTTTTACGTAATGATCAGTTGATAGCAGTCTTATAATACTAAGATTTTTTACTGTATGAAACGTCGAAAACTTCAGCTGTTGAGAATGATAAGTTGAGATTTTGTACTTTTCTCAATTTAGAAACCGGCTGTATACCCTTATATTATTTTTTCCGTTGCAACATTTGATAAAAAAGTTTATATTTATTATGTGTATGTTGGTCAGGTATCGGAGGGCGACATTCCCGCGGCTAGTATGACGGCATTATTGCGTCCATTTTGCGTGTATATGTGTAAAGGTGAATCGCCTGCGTTGTGTGTGAGCGCGCGACGCGTACTAACTGCATTACTGCGCCAGTCTGAACATGGCCTACTATATCAGCACAAGACTAAGGCGTGGGAGATGGTAAGATTTTTATAATTAACGTGACACTTGAATGCTTATTCTGTTTCTCCCAAAACGAAGTATATCCAAAGACTAAAAAAAATGCAATTTTTGATAATTATTCAACGGAACTGTCTCTGAGGCACAGATAATTTTCATGGAACGAAATATATCCAAAAAACGCAATTTTTGATAATTATTCAACGGAACTGTCTCTGAGGCACAGATAGTTTTCACGGATTAATTTTGCTAAAGTTATAAGAACAATTTGAAATTTTCCGAATTTTCGTTCGAGGTCAAATAGTGTAGGTCTTGAGTCCTTAATTCGTACCATATATATGTCATCTTATACTGTACAGTTAGCGTCATAATCGTCGAAGTGCCGAAGGTGATCAAAAATATGTGAAATAAATAGACAACCAAAGTTACCTTTTAGTTAAGACGTAAGTATGCAGAATGGGCAAAATATCTTTGCAACATTTCTTCAATTTTATCTTCTAATTAACACCGCCATTTAAGTCAATTTGACTCCGTTCATCAATTCAAATCAATTCGAAACAAGTTAGTAGTTAAACTTGAAAAAAACATCTCAAATTATTTTGATCACTTTACGTACTTATATACCACATAAATAGATAAATAAAAAAAAATGTGCCTTCGTAAGAAACAATAAAAGAACAATTTAGTTGCCTATATAAAATTGAACTACAGAAGTTAATTGCTGACGCTGATTGTACAAACAAGTAAAGTTTTGTAATAGCCATATTTTTCTATTTTTACAATTCTTTAAAATGCACTATGACATTATTTAAGGTTTTGTAATATCGAATTTAATTTTTGTATTTAATATTATTATCAGATGGGATGCCCTCGCGGTGGGCCAGATGCCTTGGAATTGGTGTCTGATGATGACGATGAAGAAGAACAAATCGGTGACGTTGATGAAGAGAGGGAACACGAGTGAGTTGTTTATAAATCGTCTACTAGTTTTAACACAGATTGTTATTTGGTACTGCTTTCTTCTTTCGCTGCATAAATATTCTCTTATAAAACGGCATATCGCTCCTTAGTAAAGGGATGAGGATGACGAAATAAAGGTTAACTTCGAAGCAGCATATTTGACTGAAGTTACATTGCGTATCAACCGTCTCGGGACATCAGAATTGATAAAATATATAATATGATACAATTCAACCTTGCACACTCCACGTTTTAGTCGACAGTTCGTCATACTAATTAATTGGCTACTTGAGAGCTGTAACAATAAATTATGTAGTATTAATTTGTTTAAAAATAAATTGTAAGCATATTTTGTTTTTGCAAAATTAACTTGTGATTTATTATCCGTGTATTACAATAACTGAAATGCGAGCATGACGGAGCATAGTGTGACGTCACATTTCAATAAACTAAACGTCAACGAATGGTGGGAGTTCAATCGGTACTCGTGTTTATTAAATGTGACATCACATGGGACAATTAAGGTATTCCTTTATTAAATATAACACTTTTTGGAGAAAAATAAATCTGATAATGAGTTAATATGATCATCTGAATTTTTAAAATACTTTTCCCAAAACAGTTAAGTTGTCAGTTATTAGTAATAACAACATTAAAGATATAACTGTACTCTTTAAAAATATATATAAAAAATCTCCCATTGCACATAATTAGATTTTGCCTGGCACATTCCAATTACGGTCATGGTTTTATACGATGTAATGCGCTAACAACCTGAGGTGGTCGTTTTATTATCCAGGACGGCGTTAGATCCCCGCGCGGGTCGAGTCAACGTGGAACTGAACCCGCTACCGGTGCCCGCAAAACAGATAGCTCAAATGCTTAAAGAACTACTTGCCACCACCGCCTCCAAAGCGTATAAAAGAACCAAGATATGTCTGCAGAGGTGAGTATTTGCTAATATTATAGGCAAGAAGATTAGTAGTTTATTAGTAGACTAGCTGTTTTCCCTAGTCTATGTCACCCGCGTATGGCTAGCTTCTCGTAAGTGAATGACACTACCTCTGATGCACAGATAATTTTCGCGGATATGATTTATAAGAACGACCCAAAACTTTCTAAATAGGCCCTCAGGTTTCATGTTAATTCGTATGAGTTGTAGTTCGCAAATTATCTTTGTAACGTAGGTTTGAGCAGTTAGCTAAAGATGAGTATCCATTGCGCGTTCCGGACGTATACACCGATGAAGACGAAGCCCCCAAACCGAACACTTTGGACGCGGCAAGGGATCTCCACATTCTGGACAATCAACTAGTACACTCCGCCGATGAGCTTGCTCTCAGAGGTCAGTACATATATTAACTTGTATTTAGATTAGATTGATTGGACGTCGCTCATACAACAATATAGTGTTATTATTTAGCGGATGAAGTTTCGAATGTTTTTATATATTAAATACTAGCTTTCCAACTGCTTCACCCGCGTGGTCACATATAAACATTCGACTAATCAATAATTATGCTCATTATTGCCAAATAAATTTCCAAATTCTTTTTAAAGAAATATACTAAAAAGAATTAACGTCTCAAATTCGCGAAACAAATACAGAAAGTGTCTGCAGTCGAAATGCAGTCGAAACCATACTTTAATTAAATAGAATATAATACAGTTAGAAATCGTTTCTTTTATTATCAATACATAGTATACAACAAAGTCCCTTTCTTTGTCCCTGTATCCCTATGTATACTTAAATCTTCAAAACTACGCAACGGATTTTGATGCGGGTTTTTTTCATAGATAGCGTGATTCAAAAGGAAGGTTTTTTATGTATAATACAAGACCACGCGGGTGAAGCCGCTGACAGAAAGCTAGTTAATTATAAAATTATAAATTGAATCTACAATTTTTAGAGTTCCGTACACAAAAGGTAAAACAGCTTACTAAATCTGTCCGCCTGTCACCAGGCTGTATCTTGTGACCAGTGATAATATTTGTGTTGCCGCTATAATAAATTAAAAAAAAATAATAAGCGGGCTCCCACACAACATAAAACGCAACGGAACCCTTCATGTACGATTCCGATTCTCACTTCCCTATTGAATAGAACTCAATTTGACTATTAAATGGTATAATACACAGGTCTAAGTCGTAAACATCGTAAAAGATTACTGGCCAAGAGTCGCGCCGGACTTAGCATAGTCGAAGACATCGAAGCGGTCAAAGGGAAAATCGACGGATGCACGGTGAGATTATGCATATAGAAGTAGATATACCATACTGTAAACATAGTGGTTATCATGATCAGCCATTTCATGTTCCCACTGTTAGGGCATGAGACTTCCCTATGGATGGAATCGGATAGGGAGAGAGGGCCATCACCAATCACATGGAACTGGTGCAGATTGGAGGGTGTTTACGACTTAAAATGCAGCCGGGAACAACGGCTTAACGTTCCTTCCGAAGCACGGAGGAGCTCGAGATAATTAATTTTTGGCCACCCATCCTATGACAGGCCACTGCAAAAGTAACTTCCAAACCTTTCGAGTCATCAGATATCTTGGGGGGTAGACAAAGAGAACCTTACTTGTCGTTTATATAAGTATTTTCTTACATACTCGCCGACCATGACTTCTAACGTCGCCTTCAGTGGCGTGCACAGATTTGGGGTAAATTTACCAATTTTCACCTTAGTTCCAGTACCTTCTAATGAGTCCAGGATGATGAATATTTATATGTTTGTTAGTCCCCATGAACATTGAAATGTAATTTATTTATGCTTATAAATATAGCAAAATTATTTTATCAAAATAGTAAGAACAATTCAACTGTTAATACTTAATACCTATTATTTTAAACATTGTTCATATAAACAGTCAGCGGCTGACAAAACGTTTGGTATCAATGTGAACAATCCCTTAATTTTTATAAATCAAATCAACATGTATATCTTTCTTTAATACTTAATTTAGTAAAACACAGTCGTGAAAATGACAAAGTTGTTTTAAAATTTCGTCACTCGTAACTATTAGTTTTGCTAATTTGTAAACTTTAGGAAATATGGTTGTTAAATTATTTGAATGTAAATTTTTTTTTAGTTAAATCTAATCGAAAATTTTTCTTCAAATGATAACGGAAATGCATTCGTATTTAATTTAAAGATAATGTATGAATGTGTAAGAATTAAACAATGTAGGTTTAGTCGGGTTTTATGGGTAGGGTATGCAGTGGTTATTTGCATGTATGGTGTGCACGCCACTGATACTGTTCCGACACCTCGCTATCAATATGATAGTAAAAGGTCTGTCTAGATGTCGGCATCTATATCCTTTGATTAGATGAGTGGAATGGTTTATAAGTGATGATTCTAATATTTTCAATGTATTGATATATAGCTTTGAATATTATGACAGTCCTAGTGACCATTTTATACATTATTATTGTGATTTTCCTCTTCTCTTATTTTGTAATTAAATTAAACAAAAAGTGTTCTCCACTGTCTCTGTGTGAGTATAGTACTTTTGTTTGATTTCATTTCATATATTTGGGTTCAAATTTTTATTTGTAATATTATGTAATCATTATTAATTTATAAATTAATGATCTTCCTACAGAATGGCAATTGGGAAGTGGAAACAACAGAACCAGAACTAAATGATAAACTCAAAAACTGTTCAGATAAAGAAAACGTAAACAAGGACAAGAAATCAAACAAACGCAAACTATCTGATGAACAGACAGATACAAACAACAAAAAACAAAAATTCAAACATGAAAAAGGGCAGAAAAATACAAACAAAGACACTATAAAGAGATCTTATGAGAAGAAGACGAATAAAAATAAAAATAAGATCAAAAAACAAAAAATATTAAATGGTATTCAAGACATAAAACTGGTACCCAAACTTAGTGATGCAACTAAAAAACAAAAAGAATCGAAAACTGAAAATGTGGAACCTAATAAAAATAACAAGAACCAGAAAAAACTAAAAACAGATACAGAAGCAAAACAACCGGATAATAACGCTAAAAAGCCACTAACTCCACACACCAATCAAACGAATACAAATAAAGTATTAGTAAAAAGCAATAAAATAAACGGTGACACAAATGTGAATCCGAAGAAACGTGACCATAGACAACAGAAGCAAGTCGAAATCGGTAAAGAGAAGAAGACATCGCCATCTGTGATCATAAATAAAGTGAAAAATTACCAGAAGAAAACTTCTGCAGAAAAAAGTCCACTAAAAAACGGATCATATGAAACTCCAAAAAAGGTCAAGTTTGTATTAAAAAATAACTCTATGCAAGGCCCCGTTGACTATTATAAGAGTGTGAGGCAGAGTCCCAGCATACCTTTCGATAGTACTAAAAAGCCATCGAAAACTAACCTCAAAGTGTCAACTCCATCGCCTATAAACCCTTTTCTTAAGAAAAAACTCAGAATAAAATGAATTCGTCATCTATTATTACAGTATTTTATGGAACTTACATACGTCTGGTGATCTATTACAGCTGGCCGACCTTATATATGGGGTTATTCATAAAACACCAGCAATCTCACTGGATTAGATAGCTAAACATAATTAACAACAACTTCTGGTCCACGAGTTTAACCATAACTCGATACTTCGTACAAAAATGATTATTTTTTATTATTATACTGATGTGACATTTATAGGACAATGTTTTTTTCATAAACAAAAGGACAATTCATCAGCCGCCATGCGGGTAGGTTACGACAAAAGAACATTTTTTTGCAATTTTTAACTTAACACTAGAAGTGCCGAAACTGATGACCCCCCTAGAACCGCCACCGTGACAATTTTGTCCCATTCTATTTTTACTACGTTTATTAGTATTATGAGTTAAATTATAAATAAAACAACGTGTAAGTTACTTCAAACCATGTTTATTTATTTATTAAAATGAAAATAATAATCCTTTTAAAACAAAACTTAAAAACATTGTTTTTCTTCTTCATATGGGACTTCATAGCCCTCACAAATAACATAAATATAATTTATAATGTAATAAATTCCAAAAATCTATGGCACTTTACAGATGACTTATTACTTGTGCAATTTGACTTGACCTGACACCTTGTACGTTTTTCTTGTTTTCCTGGTATACTTTCTGGAATTTCCACAAGAATGGCAGTTTTTCTATTATTCATGTACTGTGATCCCAATTCTTCTCCCAGTTGCTGTTATAGAATAACACTGTTTCCGGTTTTCCCTTCGAACTAGGACTTATTGTTATGTTTTGATGCATAGTGCTGAGTATTAGAACATTTTTATTTGGCTTAGTCTGATAAACAGTCAAAGTTGTGTCTCCAGTTTTCAGGAGAGAGGTCTTATATAATTCTTCCTTAGCGGTTTTTACGGATGCTGGTATTTCTCTTCGCACTCTATTTACAGTACCTACGATACTAGTGTTTTTAGAATCCAAATATCCCTCTAGTACAAGAGAGGTAAAAAAGTTGTCACATGTGACATTTCTGCCTTTGTTGATGTAAGGCTACATCAATTTCTTTACCACCCAATCACCTAAACGCTCGTCATTAGGTCTATGATCATCTTTCTCAAGGTAAGGGAACGCGTTTATTATATAATTTGCATCTTTGTCAACAGCCATCCAAAACTTTTGACCATACTTATCTGGCTTTGAGCTCATAAACTGGGTAAATCGGCAAAGACATTCTCGCAACCTCGTCCTTGTCTTTGCACTTGATCTTGGGTTTCAGTCGCGACGCTCATCAGACTTGTTGCTTCTGAAATATAAAAATAGAATAAAACATCAACCAAAAACACAAAAAATAACACACAAATACATAAATAAAAAACAAAATAAATGACGCTATATTTCAATTGAGCATAAAATAAAAAATATTTACCTTGAGGTATTTCTCTCTCAACAGTCTCATCAGATTCATCAGAAGAAAAATCGGAACCGTTTTCTAACTCGTAGTCGTTGTCAGAATAATCTAAAGGCTCACCATCTGATTCGTCCTCTAAAATGTTATTCAAACTGGACAAAATTTCTTGCGGATTCAATATTCTGCGACGATGGCTAGACATAATTATAATACGTGAGGTATGCGCTTGTAAAAACAAAAACGTACACACTTTACGCGATGCGACGGAGAAGTGAATAGACACAATGCTCAACTGTTTAGTAGCCCCTCCATCCGCGCAACTAGCCAGGGCAATGATCTTACGTCGTTCGATTGTTACAAATTTTGGCGGGACAAAATTGACCCGGCGGCAGTTCTAGATAAATCTACTATTATTTTATTTTATTTTGTTTTTATTAAATAGAAAACATATTCAATTAATAAAATACAATAAATGATAAAAAGTCAAAAAGTTTCAAGGTCTTTGGTGGAAAAAATAAAAAGTTAGAGACGATGAAACTTATGGGTGGGACAAAAATGGAACGATGGCGCTTCTAGTGTTAAACACTAAAAGATATAAATTTTCATAGTTTAAAGTGACATTACCCATACATATTTGAAATACATTGGAGATTGTATTTTTAGGATTCATTGACTGGTCTCTTGACATTTGTACCTTTATCATAAAATGAAATTGTCGTATATGGTAATCAAATACATGTTTTCCGATGAAAAAAACTAACCTGACGTGTCGTGGACTGTATTTAAATTTTGTAAGATTAGGTATTTGAATACTGAAAGGTAATTTATAGCACAATGAATTATAATTTTTGTATTTAATTTAATGTGATACATTATGTAGTAATTATATTTAATATGAAAATTATCCCATTATGATGTAACATTTTATATTACTGTAGTGATCAGAGATAAGCCTAATTCAACCAGTGTATTGGTCTATTTATTTTAATCACACACCTATTGTTTATTAATTACACTGAATATAAAAATTTCATGTCTAAATAGCATAAAAGTAACTAAAAAGTCAAATTTCTACAATCAATTTTAAACTTTATTATCGCCAAATCAAGACTTAAAGTAGATAGTTTGGCCTTGTTACCGTAACCCGATAAGTTTGTACTGTATAATTGAAGAACTTGTTGCTATTCTTCTTGCGCAAATTTCAAATATTCACGCGCTGTTATAAAACAAGTACGTTTACAAACAGAATTAAATTGAGAATTGAGCGTAAATATGCCTAAAGGCAGAGTTGCTACCCGTCTTGATTTTCCAGGACCGTCTTGATGACAATGACATCGCATCGCGTCCCAACCACCTATCAAATTTGTTCCAATTTTTAAGCAATAGTTTCCGATTGTCCCGATTTTTTCTCCAATAGATGGTAATCCTACTTAAAGGTATATGTATGGATCGTGATATTTCTCGATTATACAAAGGCGATTATAATGTAGGTATGAATGTTGTCTCATATGTACGATATTAAGTGCTTTCTCAATATCGTACATCGTTGTGTAATGATTTGAGAGTAATTCATTAAAAATATGTATAAAACTCAATTGGATTTTACGTCCTTCTAACGCTTATTAAGTATCAACAATTTTGGAAGCCATGCTAAGATTGAAAGGTATGACTAATCTTGATTTCGTGTTGTATTAGGTATATGGATTATTACACAAGCTAGGCGTAGATAAAGACACTATCGTAGGTAGTAAACAAACTTTCGAACATTTTTCATTTTATAAAAGAATTATCTTTTCTTCATCCAAATTTGCAGCAATTGTGTATTATTGGAAAAAATTACTCTTTCTTATTATGAATTCAAAAATATTAAATTCAACCTATGCGCACTAAAAATTTACTCTTTGCTTACTACTTCTATGAACGACGTAAAATGTATACTACATGCGCTAGTGCTGTAGTAAAGTACTATTGTTGCAGTTGTCAAGTAAATGTTTCAGAATACAGAACTTATCATATCCTATTTTGTATGTATAGTACCAGATAGAATATTTTGTTTTAGCTTAAATTGTTAATGTTCTGTTATGTACTGTCTAAATAAACTTCTTTATATAAAATGAAATAGTTTGAATTTATGGAATACCTTATTAAGCAGTCCTTTATGAAAAGGGGACAATAGCAAAATTACGCAATTTTGAGATAAACTAATCTGTGGCGCTGATGGGCTGACGTTAGTTACCCTTTTACCCGTCGGACAGCTTTAATAACTAAGGAACAGGATGAAAAATGAAACAACAAATAACTTTATATAATATGAATATCGCTATGTTGTCATTCTTACACATATTTACAAGTTACTTTATACAAGGTGGTCTTTCCTTAAAATTACTGCAAAGTCGGCCATTTTTAATAATTGTCTACGCCCGTCTTCACACTGGCAACACTTGATCGTTCACTTCGAATATTCCTTCACTATTCATCACAATAGGGTATTTGTCGATAGTTTCATTGTAATAAATGGTCAGTATCCATACTATATTGAAAATTAACGGGAAAATGACTTCACTATTGGATAACAAAAAGGAAAAAACTTCATATTCGTATAAAAAAACTACCCCTCTTAACAGTCAGTCAAATACCCTATTATTGTAAGCTAGCTAGAGACCATTTTACTAATAAACTTTTTTAATTATTTACATTTACTGTCTCTCATATTTACTTCCAAAGTAACGGAAACAACCATATTTACAACATTCTTGCGTCAAAGTGAACGAATCCAGTTGATTTTCTACATATTTACAATATCTTATATTATAATTTATACATTTCATGGGGTACGCTCAACAGGTGTCTATTTAACAGATCGTAAATAACACAATCTACACTTAACAATGGTAAAGCCATGTCATGTTTAATAAACAAAATTATCTGCATTAAGAATATGTGATTAACAATGATTTTATAATAGCATTATTCTTCTAATATTAAGATATAAACTTGAAACCCTTGATCTCACAAGGCTTTTAACTGAATACCCCTATTCTAGTCATGTTCAGATAATAAGAATGCGAAGACTCTGAAAAAGTTTGTTTTGGTTTAAGATCTTTTAGCTCTATTACTTTTTACACTCCAAATACTTTAATGGTTAAGAGCTTAGTAAGTAACATGATTCACATTTCGAATCTTCGTGTATCTTGAAGACTTCATGCTTTGTCTTCAAGCATCCCAATTTAACAAATATGTTTTCATTGGAATCAATGACAGATACCTCGCTTTTATATGTTTTGGATGACAAATATTTACGGATTCACCTAAGATTATGATGATTACAATATCAAATACAGATAGAGAGAAATATAAATATTCAGATTTCCAACATAAATACATCTTATATATCAACATATATACGATAAAATCTAGTACAACACATATTTCATACAACATATATCAATATAATATTTTTATACATAGACACCAAAATGGTTTTCATTTCATCAATAATAAAATGCAAATGTTATTTACATAAACAACTTAAGATTGGTTTGCTTTAATATTAAAAAAAAAGACAAAACATTCAAG